ATACATTGCCAAGGATAGCGATCCGCTATTGTACGTGTTCTTCCAAAATTTAGGAAATTGCAGAATCCTTTAAAGTCAAATCAAAATTTGTCTTACCCTATAGACAATAATGCAGTCTGTGAAGCATAGTTGTTGCGACACCCCGTCGATCTGCCGAATGCATGTCAGATAGCTATTGTGGCCTTACATGATTATAAAATCCACGAATTAGCAACCAATGTTTGGCCATATCTAGCCCGTGGCCCATAACCATGAAATGTGGACAAACTGATAAAAGCTAATTCACTCTTAAAGATGCAACCTGGATGCAGTGGATTTGTAGGTACTACTGGACTTCATGCCAGATATTCTGTCAACACTTATAAGAATATCACATTCAGGAATCACCCTGTAGAGATACCTTACGATTGCTGCAAACACTTACCAGACAAACATAATCTGCCAAAATTAAAGCCGATCAAATTAAATAAGATCGACACCGAAGAATTAGAAATAGCCAACCACAAGTTGAATCAGTACTCCGAACAACTTGACAAAAATATCAATGAGCCTTTCGTATCCAGACATCTCTCATGGTTCACATATTCCATAATTGCCGTATTAGTTATCATCGTAGCATTGCACCTGTGCAGAAGACGTCGACCACTCAGTAACTGTGCGCCGAATTATCCAGCCGATTGGCCCATCTCCAGGAACCTCGAAAATTCGATACATTCCCAGACTTTTTCACCGTAGAAGACCGACCATCCAGCCACAAGAAGAAGACATTGAACTACAGTGATTCTATGAGTGAAGTGTTTTCGCTATCCAAAAAGAAAAACAAATATTTTTCAGAATTTGTATTTTCTGATTTTATTTTATTTTACTATTTGTAACCTTTTACACCTTTATATTTTTACAATTTTACAATGTTTTAAAATTTTTAACTTTTTCAGTATTTTGATCAAAAGCAACAACTTTTTGTAATCGGGGGGAGTTGTTATATGCCCTTAGTAACTACGCAGTTATTAAGTAAGCCTACATTGTTGCACTAGGCGCTGCGTTAGCATAAGATAACAACTTCTCGCTAATCAGTTGTTTGCCTCGTGTCTATTTTCTATGGATCTATTGTTTGTCCATTGTGTATTTCTGCTGATCCTTAGTCAGCAGTCTAAATTGTATAAATAGGTCTGCCAACATTTGAAGTGTGTTCGTTAGATACCCGATTAGACTCCGTTATAGTCAGTTGTAATCTTTGTAACTTGTAATTTGTAACGGACTGAATTACAGTCCTCGAATAAAGCTTTTAAAAAGTGTTTTTCAAAGTTATCAATTTAACATGTATGTACAAAAATATGCGATCCAAGTTGCACATACCTCTTTCATCTTTTGCCCTGCAAAAATACCGAATTGCAACGTCGCATTAGCGCCTAAGGTTTGAAAAGCATTTAGGTAGTGGCGAAGTGATACGGACTATAGAAGAGTAGCGTCACTTCGTCGTTAAAACAGTTTTTGGCCAGATGTCCGAAATTATATTGTGGTATCCAAAATCCTACATGCAGTTTAACCGATGTGTCGGTGATATAGCAGGTAGTGAGGAGGAAGGTAAACATCCAGGTAAGGAAGGTCACCTGCAGGTAGTTCACCACAGATCACTGTCAGAAGTGATTTACGTGTCGCAAAACTTGCAGGAAGTGGGGTGCTGATATTTCGATACTGTAAAGGCGAGTGTTGTTATTCCAACATATTTGGAATTTGAGACATCGTCCCTTAAGTTGTAATACCACGAAACTCAAAAAAATTGCTTAGTTTTACATCCTACTTCAATGAGCAATGGCAAAAATTCCCAGAGTATTTTGAGTTTGATATTTTTATGGCGTTTCATGATATACCCAAAAAGTTTGGATTCCTTGTTCCAATATCGGCTGTAGATTGTAAGTCTGTTGAGGTTTTATATGACGACGAAAAGATTTTTAATAAGATTTATAAGAAAAAAGATACGCACTCGCACACGACGAGGGTTACAATAACACCTGAATCCGGTAATGCGTGTGTGTTCGGTCTTATTATAAAATGTTTCTTATTATCTTTGCGAACGTCGCTGCAGCATCGCGTATAAAAAGGCAAATTCGTTCAAAGAATAGTAATAGTAAAGTATAAGAGTAAATTATTGTAGAATATATTAATCATTATACGAAAGACTTTTTTGTCAATGACAAAAATAAAAGCACTGTAATGATCCTTCCCTAGGTTCACCTGCGGAAATGTTGTTACGACTTTTACTTCCTCTAAATGATCAAGTTTGTCATCTTTTCAGCAACATCGGCGACGCGGAAACGCCACCGCGTACCAGTCGGAAGATCTCACTAAATCATTCAATTGGTAGTAGCGACGGGCGGTCTGTACAAAGGACGTAATCAACGCGAGCTTACGACTCACTCTTACTGGGAATACCTCGTTCATGGGGAATAATTGCAAGCCTCAATCTCTAGCACGAAGGAGGTTCAGCGAATTACCCGGACCACTCGGCCAGAGAGGACACGCTGATTCCTTCAGTGTAGCGCGCGTGCGGCCCAGCACATCTAAGGGCATTACAGACCTCTGTTATTGCTCAATCTCGAGCAGCTAGAAGCCGCCTGTCCTTCTAAGAAAAATTGTTTGTACGCCGACAGTAAAAACCGCGCACGGAAAGGGCGGAAACTCCAGCCGGCGGGCCTTTGGGATGTCGAAATATGCCTAGTTAGCAGGCTAGAGTCTCGTTCGATACCGGAATTAACCAGACAAGTCGCTCCACCAACTAAGAACGGCCATGTACCACCACCCACCGAATCAAGAAAGAGCTCTCAATCTGTCAATCCTTCTGGTGTCCGGTCCTGGTGAAGTTTCCCGTGTTGAGTCAAATCAAGCCGCAGGCTCCACTCCTGGTGGTACCCTTCCGTCAATTCCTTTAAGTTTCAGCTTAGCAACCATACTTCCCCCGGAACCCAAAAGCTTTGGTTTCGCGGAAGCTGCCCGCCTAGTCATCGGAGGAACGATGGCGGATCGCTAGCTGGCATCGTTTATAGTTAGAACTAGGGCGGTATCTGATCGCCTTCGAACCTCTAACTTTCGTTCTTGATCAATGAAAGGGTCTTTGGCAAATGCTGTCGCTTCTGTGCGTCAAATAATATAGTATAAAATAATAAAATAAAACAGTCAACTCAATGCAATTAAAACAAAAATAGTATCCTTTAAAATACAAACAAGTAATAAATCAATTCAGAATTCTCAAAAAAAAAAGTAAGAAATAAACAAAAACAATATTATTTGAAGTATAAATATAAAAAAAAATCCAATACGAGCAAAGTAGAGATCTAAGAAAATACATATAGTTAGACAAAATAGATTTCCATGATGAGTTCCTTAACAATTTCATGTATTATATTTTTCAGTTGGCAAATATTCGCAGAATAATACCTGGCAAAAAATATGTTTTGTTCTTCATTGTATACCCACAAAAATACAATAGATTCTTTCAAAAATATCTAGAAATATGGATATCATCAATTTGTAATCCTTTCCTCTTCAAACAAATGTTTCATCATAATGTTAAAAATATTGTACGCTATTTTCAAAATTATAAGCTCTGCAAACAAGGCTAAAAGAATGTCTAATCAATTACAAAAAAAATTCTAGTTTCACTGTAGGTGCCAGACGCTTCAAAAAAAAAACAATTTAAATATGCTCAATGACATTAGAAGTGTTACACCCAGAAAAAAGTATTTCTTCAGCTTGATTTTTTGGCAATGATGTAGTCTTACATCAAGAATGAAACGATAACATTCTCATGAAATTTTATTGACAAGTGATAAGAAAAAAAAAATGAATAATGTGGTTCGCGACCCCGCTGCTGAATAAACTCCTGTATAAATCTGGGAATCGACAAAATGAAATGATGATGACTGGCTGTGGCGCAAACAACTCGAACTCCGTGGATTAGCTGTGGCGGATGGTACAAAGTGGATAGCCTCCTCCCCATCATTTCACACACATGTTCGCTAGGATTTAAATCCGGTAGAAGGGGTGGGCACGGCAAAATATTAACGCCTGCTTCTTGCAGAGGAGGGGTGATTGGCTACCATAACTAATAGCCCACCATTATTCCAACAGTCCTGTGTACATGCCCCTCAACAGCAAATCCAATATCACGCCGTTCTCCACAGCGGCGTCTTAGCCTTCTACGACCATCGTGCCTACTTAGACAGAATCGCGATTCGTCGCTGATGATGACATTATGCCATTCTGTCTCCTAATGTTTCCGTTCTCTGCTCCAGTTCAAACGTTGACGACAGTGGTCCACAGTCAGACGAAGCACTAACCGTGGACGGTATGACAAAAGGCTCAAATGCGGCGATAGGGTGTACGCAGAGTAACAGGTCTACCTTCTTCTCCAAACCATCGATAAGCAATAATTCTCGAGGCATTTTGTTATGCTTATATAAATGTTATGTAAATAACGGGAAATAAATAAAAATATCTGTACTACTCAGCTCTCAGAAACTGCTTTCTTCACAAAAAACTAAGAGATAACACTTTAACAAAGACAAACGAAAACAAAGATAAAACGTTGACATTGTTGGCACAGCATGCGTTGAATATAGTCATTGTTTCAAAAAAAAAGTTGAAATTATTTTTTCTGGGTGTAACACTTCTAATGTTACTGAGTATATTAGCCGGCTCAATGGTCAGGCGGCATCGTTCTTTGACAACGGAAGTCAAAAGCTGGTACCACAAGTTGATGAATGATTAAGTGTTTATGGTGAATGTCCACATTTCAGGTTGTGATACAGCTTACGTTCTTAATAAAGTTTTTCTGACTCCATTACAAAACGATTCTCATTTAAAAAATGACCCTCGTATTACCTCCCGTTTGGAAGAATCGAATATCCCTTTATTAAAATTTTAGTAAACTGCAGTTTATTTACTATATTGACTAGTTCTGGATTTTTTAATAATAGGTTATTTTCTGTTTATTTTTGCAGAGTATCGGACTTATTTGGAATTGACAACGGAGCAAATAATGACGAACGTATAAATGATTTGAAGAGAAGTCAACAGGTGAATTTGGTGCAAAATTGACTACATTGTCCGTAGAAGTGCGAACGCAAAATGAAATAATGGAGCATAACATAGACGATATGAAAAGATATCAGCAAGATATGAGAAACGATTTCAATACAAATATGACAGTTTTCGCGATGGAGTTGCAGCAGCAGAAAGAAGTTCAAGAGGAAATGAGGAAGGATATCCGTTCTATAAATAAAACTGTCGCCAATCTGCAAAAGTAAGTAAATGAAATTCTTACAAGGGTATGTATGTTTTTGTGTCGTTTTTTCTTACTTGCTAAAAACTTCCTTGAGAAATTTATTTATTTATCCATATCAACAAAAAGCAAGCAAGCAAAATTTCACATGTTTTTATTGGATCATTTAAAAATGTTAAAATTTTCCAACCATTTTGTGTGTCATGTGGAAGCTGTGATAAAGTGTAAGAAATGTTAGAGCAAAATAAATAACTGTCAAACATTCTGCTATTATTACAAGAAACCTCTAATAAGAGCGCGTGAATTTGAAAGTCCGCAAAGTTGGGGTTTTCCTTTACACGACGTGTAGATCTTGAAAACATAAGCAATTTTTCTTAGTACCATATACACCAATGTCTTAAGGGAACCGAGATAAAGGGCTCTGCAACATCAAAAATATCTGAATACCGTCCTGTAGCCGCGACATCACGGAGTGGTACAATGTCACTGGCTCAACGACAGAACTGGGTCGGGGTCAGTGTGTCAGGTCAGTATGCAACCTTCAACCGACGGTTACGGTCACGCCTGTAGAGGTAATCGTGTAGACGAGAATCCCTCAACAAGCACTAGAGACGTGGCTAGAGAAGTGCAAGTATCAAAAACTAAAGTGTGGCAAACGCTGCGTGAAGAGGGGCTGTATCCGTTTCACGTCCAACGTGTACAAGCCCTTCTACCTGACGATTTTCCAGCAAGAGTGCGGTTTTGTGAGTGGTTGTTGCATCAACATGACAATAATCCGGACTTTTTGAAGTGCATACTGGTGACAGGAATCTACATTCACGCGTAATGGGGTGAGAATAACTTTCGCAACACTCATATTTGGTCAGTAGAAAATCCGCACGCTGTCCGTCGGGCACATTTACAACAACAAACATTTTCGGTGAATGTTTGGGCTGGCATGGTGCGTCTGCTCGGTAGTGCATCAGCTGATTTCATTTTCTGTTGGAGCGGTATGATTTCGGGCAGAGACGTACTTAGCCCTTCTCGTCAACTGGAGAGTGAGTACTTTTTCCTTTATTTTTTTTTACTTGGTCGCCCTCGTTTCACTACACATTACCTTTGTTATTTCAAGGGTAGTTGTTTCTGAAAAGGAAAACCCCAACTTTGCGGACACCCTGTATACCTAAGTTGCAAGTTGCATGCTGGTTTGGGTAGAATATTGCAAGTTAAATTTGACCTATTTGCCAGTCTCTGACTGAGTTGGCATTCGGAACGCACCTTTAGTTCTGATGACAATGCAAAATGGCCGCTGAAACAAAATGCCGGATTACATATACTCGGTGACATTAGAAGTCTTACACCTTAGAAAAATAATTTGTTCAACTTGATTTTTTGAAAATGAGATATTTTGACATCAAGAATGAAACGGTAACATTCTCACGAAATTTTCTTGAGAAGCAATAAGAGAAAAAAATAATAATGTATTGGGCGACCCAGCAGCTGAATAAACTCCTGTATACGCCTAGGCATCGACAAAATGAGATGATCGGCGTCTGGTTGTGGCACCTCATTCCAAGCAACTTGAACTTTGTGGATTAGCTGTGGCGGATGGAGGGATGGATAGTCTTCTCCCAATTATATCCCACACATGTTCGATGGTATTTAAATCCGGTGGACGCGGTGGCCACGGCAAAACATTAACGCCCGCTGCTTGAACAAAGACCGTAGTACGACGAGGGGGGATGTGCGTTGTCTTGCTGAAAACGGACGTGTAGACTACCCTAGATACAGCAGTAAAGTGGTTTGTAGGACATCGTCAACATAATGCTCAGCAGTCATATTGGCTTGAACAAAGAGAAGGGGTGACCGGCCACCATAGGCGATAGCCCCGCAAACCATTACTCTAACAGTCCTGTGTACAAGAAATGAAACTCAGTGTGGTTTCGGTTCGAACACCTAAAGCTGTAACTAGAAACCGGATGGACGACGTTAATCAAAAGGGCATCGGGACGGTGTTAGCCGTACCGTTGAAATGGTAATCAACAGGATTCCATAACTCCTCCCTCCTCGGAAAGATTGGTCTCCAATCTCAAAAAATGATTTGAACTCTTAATTTTAAGGAGAAGTTTCTTAAATATCACTACTTTGAGGTGGAGTTTTAGTATCCTTTACATAACGGTATCAAACAAAAATTATAATAAATAAAACCAATAAAATAATTACACCAGTAAAAATAACAGGGTAACTTATAGTAGAATGAAACTGTAAATCTTCAAAATGAACTTGAAGTGAAGTGAGATTTTTTTGGAAATAAGATTCCAGTGAAATGTTTGTTTTCTTAAATGAATATTTATCGTTGTCACCTCTGAAGGATAATTCTAATTCAATTTCATAATTAGAGTCAAATTCTAATATTTGATCATTAATAAATGTCTGACATTCTAAAATAATGTGAGTAGTAAAATGAATATGATGGATTCCTGTACAATCCTTGATTTTTGTTAAAACATTAGTGTCGATTACATAATTGTTCTTACTTAATTCTAGGATTCGCTTGTAGTTTACCAGACTTTCAGACTCACAAGTGTAACTTAAGTGGTTGACATGGCGACTGGAAAGTATTCGTGCAAACATACAGCTGATTGCTTAACTCTATGATATTTTTGCAATAATAATTCTTTTCAAAGTATAAAATATAATCACTTGGTAATTTTACTAATTCTTTCTTAACTGTGATTGAAAATAACTTGAATAAGGAATAAGTTCTAACATCTAAAATGGGTAACTCAACTACAAAAATAAGTTGGTTTTCTAAAAGTATAAGTGATAAAAGGGAAAGATCATAAATCTCAAATAAATGTATTTTGTCGAATGGTAATAATTCTTCGTTTTATAAATGGATTTTAAATGTTCAATAAGTAAGGTAATCTGGTGATGAGATAATTGTAAGGTGTTGAGACCTGTTTGCTGGTTCAATTGTAGAACTAATAAAAGTGAATTTATATATGAATTAAATCGTTGCAAATTTGTAATAATTGAGATCTGATGGATCGTCTGGTGTGATAACAAAGACTGATGTTCAATAGTTTGGACATTATGAATAATAATTGACTGAATTCTTCTAGTATTATTTTCAAAAGTTTCTTGAAGAGATTTGCAAAACGTGATAGTTTTCTGATGACTTTCAAGCAAGCTATTCTGGTTATTTCGTAAAGCGTTCTGATTTTTCAAAATAAGATCTAAATCGTTTTGATCAAGGTTGCCAGAAATAAAACGAATTATAGAACCTAGACCGTTTATAAGTCCGTGTTTAATTCTATGCTGTGTTAGAGTTTCGAACTTGGAATAGGTGTCTTCGTATAAATTTTGAATCTGATTATCTAAGCTGGTGGGAATTTTATTATGTAATTCAATTAGGTCAGAAAACATTTGCATGGTATGTGAAATATCAGTGAGGTTAATGGAGAAATAGACTTTGTGATAGTGATGAATATTTCTTGCATTGCCTAAACGGATCTGTTGTATGGGTTGCAAATAATGTTCCGAGGCTATGTGGACAGCTATGGTGGTCGTCACACATCTGAAACAATGCGAGGTGGTTTAATCTTTTTAATCATATGTTTCCGATCTTTTATCTGAATTTTTGTTCCATTTTGTTTGTAGGTTTCGTGCTTTTGATATTTGGGTAAATTCTTTGGACGTAGACGTCTACTAGAGTAGCGTCATGGGGGGTCATGTAAATAGGGCCTTTTAATACAGGGATTTTGGAGCTCTCGTTGCGCTTAACAGTTGTTTGCAAAGTCTTATTGTAAATTTTGTCAGCTAATTCTTTTCGTCTTTCGGATTGTTGTTTTTGAAATTCTTCATAAGTCTGAAGAGGTTCACGGTGACCATATAACAAGTCGAAAGGTGTCAATTTTGTTTAGGAATGAATAGATTGATTATAGATCAATATAGAATCTAAAATAATGTCGTTTACTGGGTCAGTGGGACGTTCTAATCTTAAGGATCTGAATTTTTCACCTAAGGTGGAGTGAAAACGTTCAATGGGAGAAATGCTAGTGGGATTTGCAGTGCTTCCAATGTGAAGTTCAACATTATGGTTTTGGCAATATTCTTTAATGATATTGGAGCGTAATTCGCAAGGGTCGGCATGAATAACTTTAGGAAATCCATGATGGGAAAAGTAATGTTTCATTTTATTAAGGACATCAACATAATTTTTTGAAGGTGAGTAATAGGCATATTTGGAAAAGTGATCAAAGAAGGTTAGGTATTTAGTTTTTTCGAGAGTGAAAACATCAATGAATAAAAGTTGAAATGGAGCAATACTGAAAAATGGGCCTTGAATGGCCTGAGTAATAGGATGTCTTTCGTATTTATTTCGAAGGCAGGTTTCGCATTTATTAATAATATTTTGAATAATCTTTTTACTTTTGGGAGTGTAAATGAGTTTTCGGAATTATGATTAATTTCAATGCGACTTAAGGCGTCAGCGACATGATTTTCTTTTCCTTCTTTGTAGTTTATTTTGTAATTATATTCTTCTAATTTTAAACGCCAGCGAGCTAATCTTTGATTAGGCTCTTTGAGATTGGATAACCAAACAAGTGGTTTATGGTCTGTTTCGATGGTAAATGCATTACCAAAAAGATAGGGTCTGAAGTGTTTGCAAGAGTCGACAATGGATTTTCAATTGTGGAATAATTACGTTCTGCAGAATTCAATGTTCTAGAATGAAAAGCGATAGGTTTTCCGTTTTGAGATAGGACAGAACCAATGGCAATATTTGAAGCGTCGGTTGTGACCGTAAAAGGTTTAGAAAAATCTGGATAACTAAGAACTGGGGTATTACAAAGTACTTTTTTCATAGAATGAAATGCAGAAATGTATTCATTTGAATCAACGGGAATCTTTTCTGCTTTCTTTAGACATTTTGTCAAAGGTTTGGTGAGAGAAGCAAAGTCTCTAATGAATTTTCTATAGTAATCAGCTAAACCGAGAAATGACTTAATTTGTTTAAGAGTTGTTGGAAGAGGAAAGTGTTTAATAGCCTTAATCTTATCTGGATTGGGCTTAATACCATCTGGAGAAATTCAGTTTTGTCTAATTGAATTTTTAAATTATGGGAAATAAGTTTCTGAAAAATGTGTTTTAAATGAACTATATTATCTTGTAAGGACTTTGAGAAAATAATTATATCGTCAAGATACGCAAAACAAATTGTTCCAATAAAAGGTAAGAGGACAGTATTCATCATTCTTTGAAATGTGGCAGGGGCGTTTTTTAGACCAAAAGGCATACGAACATATTCGTAGTGGCCGTTTTCAACTGTAAAGGCTGTCTTTTCTACAGAACGTGGATCCATGGGGATCTAATGAAATCCTTGAGCTAAGTCAAGGTTCGAAAAGTATTTTGCTTTTCCAAGATTTTCTAGAATTTCTTCTGTTCGGGGGAGAGGATATTTATCTTCAATAGTGACGTCGTTTAATTTTCGGAAGTCAATAACCATGCGGTATTTTTTAATACCAGAAGCATCTAATTTTTTAGGAACAATCCATACGGGAGAAGAGTAGGGTGAAGTACTTTGGCGAATGACTGCATCGTCTAGAAGTTTAGTGACTTGTTTTTGAATTTCTTGTTTCAAGAAATAGGGATAACGAAAAGATTTAACGAAAATAGGATCATCAATAAAATGCTTAGTAGCTGTGCAGGGTTTTAATTGTTCGTTGGGCTTTAAGAAAGCTTGTGGAAAGTTTTTACAAAGAAAAAAAAAGAATTCATGTGTTCTGTACGAATAAGATCAGACATGTTCGGAGATTTGGGCAAGGGATTAGGATTCGAAATTTCATAATCGGAAATTGATTCGAATTGAATGTTATGACTTTCAATTAATTTGAGATTTTCAGGAAATAGAATCTTTTTATCTATGACAGGGCAAATATAAGTAGAAGTGTAATTTTCTGAATTCGAGTATTTGACAGGGGGGATAAATACAGAATCTTCATTTGTGTCTATAGGAATGGTGTCGAAAATCTGATTGGGAATTTTTATTGGTTCCTTATGAGTATGACATAGAATTTCAAAGTTTTCGATGGAAAGTAAATTATGGGAAATGTTAAAATTACTGTGGAATTTCTGTAGGTCATAGTAACCTAAAAGACAATCATATTTTTGATGCCATGGGAGTAATAAGAATTCAACTTCTGTTGGAATACCTATATCATCAAAGCTAGGGATCTTACAAGCGTGAGTACCAATTTTAGTTTCAATTGCTGTTTTGATAGAAAAACATTTTGGATAAATATAATCCGGAAATTTGTCGTAGGCAATTTGGGGATTCATAAGAGATGCAGAAGCACCTGTATCTATAAGAATAAGTAAATCCAAAGCTGCATTGTAGAGATATGGGAGATGAATATTTTCATAAGAGTTTAAATCAATGTCTATTCTGGGGATTGTTGATGAGGAGTTGACTGAAAATCTTCTTGAGAATAATCGTTTTCATAATATTGAAATTTATCTTCTACGGAATTTTCTGGGCAAAAAGTTTCAGAATAATAAGATTCGAAGGGGTTTGCTACATTTTCTGTAGAGCTTTCATTAGTGGGTTCGGATTCGTTATTAGTAAGTTCTTGAACAGCCATGCTAGGGCGTTGACCATTATTCGAAAAGAAATTGGGTCTTGCAAAAGGTCTACGTGACTGGATCGTCAAAGTTGACATAGGCGTTGGATCATTTTGATTATTTTGTCTTGAAGTATTGGTGACAGGGAGCCTATTCATAGGAAATTGTGAATGATTTGCAAAATTGTGTTGAGAGGTGTTGAATGAGTTCGAAAATTGACGACTTTGTGGGGAAGTATAGAATGGTTGTCTAAAAGTTGGACGAGAATTGTGAAATGATTGTGGGTTGCTAAATTGTTGTCCATAATTAATAGCGGGACGAGAAGTAGAAGGATTATGAGAGAAATTAGCAAAATTGGGAAAGTTAGGTCTATATGACTGCATTGGCGATCTAACAGGTTTATTTGTCTGAGGCTTAGACTTAGTGATGAGAAACTCTTTATATTGTTTGGTTTGCAAAAGGTTGTCGTGTTCTGGGCACCGTCCCTTAGCTTCATCTATATTTTTAGGGGGTGGCTGTAATGCAACGCAATGATATTTGGAATTGATTCCGCATAAAAAGGAGGTTAAAGCCATCTGTTCATATCTAGTAATCATTGCTGGGGCAATTTCAGGAGGATAATTTAATCGAGCAAATTCTCGTAATTCATGAAGTTTGTTACAAATTTCTGAATGTAAAACGCTATAGTCTGGGGAATGAATATCAAAAAGTTGACGAGTAAAATTTTCTTCAGTTTGGTAAACTTTGAATCTAGTGGTTAAAATAGCAGAAAGATGTTCAATAGTAATAGCATTAGTTTGTTCTGTAAATTCGGCAGGTTCACCTTGTAATCTAGACTTAATAAATGTTAAAGCATGTCCTTTATAGGAAATAGGTAAAGCGTTATAAAATTCTGTAGACTTTCTTAAAAATGTAGAAAGATTGTTTGAATAGCCATCAAATATAGGAATTGAATCTTTTAGCAATTAATTGAGGATTGTCGTGCTGAACGACATTCTGTTGATTTGAGGTAGCCGTTCTGAAAGGAGATCTTTCTCTTTCAATAGGGACAAAACGATTAACAAGAGGCATAAAATAAAATATATAAAAGATGTAAGATAAAAATGAGTAAAAAATAGGTAAAAACAAAACTTAAAGCTATGCACAAAATTAGATTTCAATTGAAAAACGCAAACTTGGATTCTTCAGTGAAAATCTTCTTTGTAGAAATGTGTTTTTTGATAAATTCTTCTGATGGTTACGTATTAAATCTTCTTAGTTGCAAAATCTTCTTAATAGTAATTCTCAACTACTTACAAGGACAGTAACATCAATTGTTGCTTCATCCAGGGGCTGGTCATCTTGTCTTCGATTCCAAATCAATGGTTCTGGACAGTTTCTGGTGGAATTCCCAGTAAGAGAATAGAAATTCTTACTTGATATTGGCACTCGGAGAGTCCAAGTAGAACAGGAGGGCCTTCCCGACGTCTGATACTAACTCTTGGCTTTCGCTGGTACTAACTTCAGTTTTCTCAGGAACTCACTCTTTGGCTTTCTCGGAGACACCGCTGGGCAGCTCGTCTATTAGATATTTCTCACAATGGTGACAGAAACCAAGCCTGGGATCCTGTTCGCAGCGCCAGAAATGAAACTCAGTGTGGTTTCTGTTCGAAACTATTGCAGGAACTTTATTGGTTGAAAACAGGATGATAACAACGCTAATTACATTTCATATTCAGTTTATAAGAAATAAAACATAGCAAAATGCAAAGTCGGTAATGTTCTCACGAAGATAACACCTATAGCTGTAACTAGAAACCGGATGGACGACGTTAATCAAAAGGGCATCGGGACGGTGTTAGCCGTACCGTTGAAATGGTAATCATCAGGATTCCATAACTTATATGCCTTTCAACAGCAAATCCAGACAGTATCACGATTCGTCGCTGAAGATGACATTATGCCATTATGCCTCCGATTGTTGCCGTTCTCTGCTCCAGTTCAAACATTGACGACAGTGGTCCGCAGTCAAAGGAAGCACTAGCGGCGACAGAGTGTACGCATAGTAACAAGTCTACTTTCTTCTCCAAATCATTGGTCAGCGATCTG